TACAAATATTTGTTATAGGAAATAAAACATTAGTTTATAAAATATGAAAACAAAAATAAAAATAAAAAATGCTTACTATTGCTACTTGTTTCTGTTAAAGATTCTTGAACATTGTGCATTAAATCTGTTAGAGATTCTTGAATATTGTGCATTGAATCTTGATTAGTTAATAAAGAAAACTTTTCCTTTGACGAAATTTGTTGCATTTGAGTTTCTGTTAAATTATTTTTTTGTGGAATTTCTATAAAGCTCTCTGCTGAGTTGGGTGTAGAAATTTGCGTTGAGGAAAAAGATAATCCAGTTGTGGATTTTGAAAGTAAAATCTGATTTGACACATTCAGTGAATCAGAAAGAATTGTATAAAAATGTTTATCTAAGAGTTTATCACTAAATAAAGTGTTTTCAATAGATTGTGAAATTTTTCTTTCACTTATATCAATTTCAGTGAAAGCTATGCTTGAGTCTTTTATAGTTTGCTCAATAGAGAAAGAAGATGAGAGAGATGGAAGTAAACTGGGTATATTATCAATAGAATCTTCTAAAATTGGTGTATAAATTTTTGTATTTGTGGATGGTTCAAAAATTGATCTTTCATCATCTTGCTTATTTGAAGAAAAGCTTGAGTCATCAACTTTATCTTTAGTATCATCAGAGCTAATTCCAGTCCAATATTGATAAATATTGTCGAAAAAACCACCAGAAGAAACTTCTTCTCTCTTTTCTTCATCTATAGCTTGATTATCTTTATCAGAATCTTTATATTCCTCTTCTTTTTTGTTTAGATCAATAAATTCTCCACCAGATGGAGGTTGGATTAGTTTTTTTTTGTCATCAAGTTCACTCAAATGATTGTTTTCATGTTGAGAATAAATCTCAGTAACTTTGTCATTTAATATGTTTAATTGTTCATTTGTATTTATAGGTATGATAACTTTACTATTTATTTCTTCACTTTTGATAGCATCAAAATCAGCTGCATGCATACTTTTCTCCTCTACATAGTTGATATTTTCAATGTTAATTTTATTTATTTCAGAGCTACTTTCATTAGACTCTGTCGTGCCATTCGCAAGAACAACCAAACTTGGAGTTTCCTCTTTTATAATATTTTGGTTTTGACCAGTAGGATTACCATACAAATAATCTGAAGATATCAAAGTATGAACTCCTTCTTGTATAGAATCAACAACTTTGTTGCTTGTATCAACAGCTTTGTTAATAGCCTCAATAGCTATGTTAGGAATATTTTCTTCTAAAGCTTTTTTAATGTTAATAAGATTAGCACCTGATATTTGATTTTCATTAGCTTGAAAACTAGAAGTATGTACAACACCATCTGAAGATAAAGCCATTGATGGATTGGCATTACTCTCAATAGGTTCATTGGTTGGATATTTGTTAAGGTTATGATTTGTATTAAATTCAATATCAGCAACCTGAACATGTTGATGACTATCAAGATGATTCTGATGTTGGTTACTTGCAACGTTATCTTGATTACCTGGAACATGCTGTAGATCGATGCCATGCCCAAGTTGGTTATCTGCACTATGACTATGTCCATGACTATGTTGGTCATGCTGATGATTAGAATTATGGACCAAATGGTGATGATGATGATGATGCAATCCCTTAACTGCATCTTTAATAGAAAATTTCTTTCTAATTTTTTCGGTAGGTTTATGCTCTGCATTATGTAAATTAATATTTACAACTTCATTTATTCGTTCATCATTAAAATCATTTGAGACTTGGTCTTTTAAATCGTCTTTTAATTGGTTTGTTGACAAAGATATATTATCATCTGTAAAAATGTTATTATTTTTCTCAACTGATATATCAGGTTTGTTATCATTTTTGTTATTATCGTTAATCATATGAGAAGAACTATGATCAATAACATTGTGAACATGCTTATTTACTATGGAATCATCATTCAATATAACAATTTCTTCCTTGTATTCCAGTGATTTTTCATTTGTATTTTTTAATTCATTTTTATCTTGTTCAATTAATTTTTCGGCTTTTGTTTCGTCTTTATTTAGACTTTCGTCAATGTTATCTAAAAGACCACTTCCAGATAAAAGTAACATCACATTAGAGTCCACTCTTCGTAACTCATTACGTAAGTTTGAAGTAATCAATTTGTCAATCATGACAAGCATTTCTTGACCCAGCTTTTGTCCTTTAAAATGGGTGTTGATATATTCTTTAATCTGCATAACTCTAATATGTCGAAAACTTTGAGATTGAACTATTTTATTTATTTTGGGATCGGGATCAAATATATTAGTGAGTGGAATTTGCAGATCATCTAAAAAATAAATTAAAGCTACAATAATTATCATAAACTTAATTTAATTATTTACTGTTTTAAATAATTATTACTAGTAATTAAATAATGAAAAATTTAGAAGACTTAATTCAATTGATATTAATACTAAAATAAAAAAAGAGTTATAAATGTTAAAAAAAAAATTGTGTTGATTGTTAATATATGTTATATAGTTGTTATATAATACATTAGAAATTGGTAGAAAATAACTTATTAAATTATATATATATAGATATATATATATATGTATATATAGATATATATATATATACACATATACATATATATATATATATATATATATATAATATATATATATATATATATATATATATATATATATATATATAAATATATATATATATGTATATGTATATGTATAATATATATAGTGTATATATATATATATATATATTAATATATAATATATATATATATATATACATATATATATATATATATATATATAAATATATATATATATATATACATATATATATATATATATATATATATATATATATATATATATATATATATATATATATATATATATATGTATATAAAAATATATGTTTTGCTGATTAAATGTCTAAATTGTGAAGCAATATCTGTAACGACTTTACATCTTTGGCATTCCTTATCAGAATAAAACTGGTCTATTCTAAAAAATACACCTGCCTATAATAATATTTCCAAAAAATGTATGCTATGTTTGCAAGAAAAATAAAAATTTATTACCCATGTGGATCAAGAAAAATTATGAAACAAAAAATCTGAACTAATTGCTAAATGCAGACATGAAAATAAGTACCGTTTAAAAAAAATAGTAAAAACAAATGATCTAACTAAAATCATCTTAATTCTAAAGAATTCTTTTTAAGCTTAACTTTTTGAAAAACAATGTAGCTAATGTAACTTCCTGGTTGCAAAATAACTACAGTTATTACAGAGAGCACTCTAATTGCAGAACACGCTAACATAATATCTATATATCTATATATACTTATATATATCTATATATATTTATAAATATATATATATATATATATATATATATATATATTTATATATATATCTATATATCTATATATATATATATATATATATATATATATATATATATATATATATATATATATATATATATATATATAGATATATATATATATATATATATATATTTAGATATATATATATTTATATATATATATATATATATATATATATATATTTATAAATATATATTTATAAATATATATATATATATATATATATACATATATACATATATACATATATATATATATATATATATATATATATATATATATATACATATATATATGTGTATATATATATATATATATATGTATATAAATATATATATATACATATATATATTTATATATAGATATATATATATATATATATATATATATATTCGGTCGGCAAATTATTGCCGAACTCATTTTTCCTAATTCTGAGGGTTATATATATATATCTATCGATATATCGGTATATAAAAACAATTGAAAAAAGTAAAAGCATTTGAAACATGTACCTCAATTATAATGCATCATTTCTTTTGTTTTACGTGTTATTTTTAGTTATAATTTTCAACTTCAAACATGAATGTTTGTTTAGTAAGATACCTTGATGTTAAATTTAAAAACAAGAAGAAAAAAACCTAATTGGAGATATCTTTAATAGATATGGAGGGTAAGTCTTATCTGGTATTAGCAAAAAATAACTTTTGTTTTGTTGTACTTTTAGTAGTTTTAACAGAAAATTTTTTGATGAACTCATTGAAACTACATTAACAAATAAAACTATATTAAATGAAACAAATTATGATATTATTATTAACTAATTATTAGTTGATCAGTTAACACTGTTTTTATTTCATGAACATAATAATGAGTGGTAAGTACTTTTAAGATGTTGATATAATCAAAATGTTGATATGTTGATATTTTTTAAATGATCATAATGCGGATATCTTACTTAAATCTATATATATATATTTTTTCTACTTAATTTTTTTTTAATTTATATGTAAATGTTCATTACCCATGTGTAAATATATAAAACACATAACACACGTAGTACAGATTAACAAAAAAGTAAACTTGGCAAGTAAGGATAGGAATTATATATATATATATATATATATATATATATATATATATATATATATATATATATATATATATATATATATATATATATATATATATATATATATATATATATATATATATATATATATATATATATATATATATACATATATATATATATATTTATATATATATATATATTTATATATATACATACATATATATATACATACATATATTTTACATCTGTGTGTGCAAAAACACATAGGTTAGTTAAAAATATTTGAATTTTATGGTCATTTTACATTTAAATATACATATATAAGTCTCGAGGAAAACTCAAGAAACCAAATTATGAATTTGCAAACTGCAAATTAATACCAAATTTTTGAGAAAACTTTAAAATCTATACAAGAGAAACATTTTGAGAATTTTTTGAGAAAACTTAAAAATCTATACAAAACTTAAATTCTGAAATAAATCTGGATGTGATTAAGGGAGTCAGACACATGAAAAACAGACTAACGAATCCCAAAAAAACTAGATTTATTTGAGTGAAAAATCTGATTTAAAAATCAAGTCTAAAGATAAAGACAAAAATGTCCAGCTTGATAGCAGAACTAGGAAAGTTCAAAGTTGATGTTAGTTTTTAAAAGAAATATTAAATAAATAGAGATAAAATATACACAATTCTATGATATATTGTATAAATAAAAGATACTAAAATAAACATAAAAAATATATATATATAAAACAAAATATTGTAAAAAAAAAATTACCTGTAAATTTATTATTTTCTTTTTCATAAACATCTTTATAAAACCCTCTCTTTTGTTGAAATAATTCAAATGGATATATTTCCTCTTTTATATTGTTTAGCAGCAAACTCTGAATAATTTTTTCATCATTTTGTATTACTTCATTGCCACCTTTACTTTGTCTTTCCTTTTCCGTTATTTCCTTAACTTCTGTTCTTTTCATATTTTCCATTTCTTCAAATTTCAAGAGTTTTGTGTTGTACTCTGCCTGAATAATATGTAGTTCAGATTGATTTTCCTTTCCTCTTCTAGCTGTTTCCTCTTGGAGTAACTGCTCTTGCATTTCGTTGATTTTAAGTTTATCCGCCTCTTGTTGCTTTTCATTTTCTTCAATTTCCAATAGTTTTTTAATTTCCTCCTGTTGATTGAGATGAATTTCTAAATGTTTTTCCTTATCTCTTCTAGCTGCTTCCTCTTGGAGTAATTGTTCTTGCATTTCCTTGATTTTCAGTTCATCCGCTTCTTTTTGTTTTTTATTATCTTCAATTTCCAATAGTTTTTTATTTTCCTCTTGTTGATTGAGTTGAATTTCTAATTGTTTTTCTTTCTCTCTTCTAGCTGCTTCCTCTTGGAGTAATTGTTCTTGCATTTCCTTGATTTTAAGTTCATCCGCTTCTTTTTGTTTTTTATTATCTTCAATTTCCAATAGTTTTTTATTTTCCTCTTGTTGATTGAGTTGAATTTCTAATTGTTTTTCTTTCTCTCTTCTAGCTGCTTCCTCTTGGAGTAATTGTTCTTGCATTTCCTTGATTTTAAGTTCATCCGCTTCTTGTTGCTTTTCATTTTCTTCAATTTCCAATAATTTTTTATTTTTCGCCTCCTGATTAAGTAGAATTTCTAATTGTTTTTCCTTTTCTCTTTTAGCTGCTTCCTCTTGGAGTAATTGCTCTTGCATTTCCTTGATTTTCAGTTCATCCGCTTCTTTTTGTTTTTTATTATATTCAATTTCTAATAGCATTTTATTTTCCTCCTGTTGATAAAGTTGAATTTCTAATTGTTCTTCCTTCTCTCTTCTAGCTGCTTCCTCTTGGAGTAATTCCTCTTGCATTTCCCTGATTTTAAGTTCATCCGCTTCTTGCTGCTTTTCATTTTCTTCAATTTCCAATAGTTTTTTGATTTTCTCCTCCTGATTGAGTTGAATTTCTAATTGTTTTTCCTTTTCTCTTTTAGCTGCTTCCTCTTGGAGTGATTGTTCTTGCATTTCCTTGATTTTCAGTTCATCAGCTTCTTGTTGCTTTTCATTTTCTTCAATTTCCAATAATTTTTTATTTTCCTCCTGTTGATTGAGATGAATTTCTAAATGTTTTTCCTTATCTCTTCTAGCTGCTTCCTCTTGGAGTAATTGTTCTTGCATTTCCTTGATTTTCAGTTCATCCGCTTCTTTTTGTTTTTTATTATATTCAATTTCTAATAGCATTTTATTTTCCTCCTGTTGATAAAGTTGAATTTCTAATTGTTCTTCCTTTTCTCTCCTAGCTGCTTCCTCTTGGAGTAATTGTTCTTGCATTTCCTTGATTTTCAGTTCATCCGCTTCTTTTTGTTTTTTATTATCTTCAATTTCCAATAGTTTTTTATTTTCCTCTTGTTGATTAAGTTGAATTTCTAATTGTTTTTCTTTCTCTCTTCTAGCTGCTTCCTCTTGGAGTAATTGTTCTTGCATTTCCTTGATTTTAAGTTCATCCGCTTCTTGTTGCTTTTCATTTTCTTCAACTTCCAATAATTTTTTATTTTTCGCCTCCTGATTAAGTAGAATTTCTAATTGTTTTTCCTTTTCTCTTTTAGCTGCTTCCTCTTGGAGTAATTGCTCTTGCATTTCCTTGATTTTCAGTTCATCCGCTTCTTTTTGTTTTTTATTATATTCAATTTCTAATAGCATTTTATTTTCCTCCTGTTGATAAAGTTGAATTTCTAATTGTTCTTCCTTCTCTCTTCTAGCTGCTTCCTCTTGGAGTAATTCCTCTTGCATTTCCCTGATTTTAAGTTCATCCGCTTCTTGCTGCTTTTCATTTTCTTCAATTTCCAATAGTTTTTTGATTTTCTCCTCCTGATTGAGTTGAATTTCTAATTGTTTTTCCTTTTCTCTTTTAGCTGCTTCCTCTTGGAGTGATTGTTCTTGCATTTCCTTGATTTTAAGTTCATCCGCTTCTTGTTGCTTTTCATTATCTTCAATTTCCAATAGTTTTTTATTTTCCTCTTGTTGATTGAGTTGAATTTCTAATTGTTTTTCTTTCTCTCTTCTAGCTGCTTCCTCTTGTAGTAATTGTTCTTGCATTTTCTTGATTTTCAGTTCATCCGCTTCTTTTTGCTTTTTATTATCTTCAATTTCTAATAGCATTTTATTTTCCTCCTGTTGATAAAGTTGAATTTCTAATTGTTCTTTCTTTTCTCTCCTAGCTGCTTTCTCTTGGAGTGATTGTTCTTGCATTTCCTTGATTTTTAGTTCATCCGCTTCTTGTTGCTTTTCATTTTCTTCAATTTCCAATAGTTTTTTATTTTCGTCTTGTTGATTGAGTTGAATTTCTAAGTGTTTTTCTTTCTCTCTTCTAGCTGCTTCCTCTTGGAGTAATTGCTCTTGCATTTCCTTGATTTTCAGTTCATCCGCTTCTTTTTGTTTTTTATTATCTTCAATTTCTAATAGCATTTTATTTTCCTCCTGTTGATAAAGTTGAATTTCTAATTGTTCTTCCTTTTCTCTCCTAGCTGCTTCCTCTTGGAGTAATTGTTCTTGCATTTCCTTGATTTTAAGTTCATCCGCTTCTTGTTGCTTTTCATTATCTTCAATTTCCAATAGTTTTTTATTTTCCTCTTGTTGATTGAGTTGAACTTCTAATTGTTTTTCTTTCTCTCTTCTAGCTGCTTCCTCTTGTAGTAATTGTTCTTGCATTTTCTTGATTTTCAGTTCATCCGCTTCTTTTTGTTTTTTATTATCTTCAATTTCTAATAGCATTTTATTTTCCTCCTGTTGATAAAGTTGAATTTCTAATTGTTCTTCCTTTTCTCTCCTAGCTGCTTCCTCTTGGAGTAATTGCTCTTGCATTTCCTTGATTTTAAGTTCATCCACTTCTTGTTGCTTTTCATTTTCATCAATTTCCAATAGTTTTTTATTTTCCTCTTGTTGATTGAGTTGAATTTCTAATTGTTTTTCTTTCTCTCTTCTAGCTGCTTCCTCTTGGAGTAATTGTTCTTGCATTTCCTTGATTTTAAGTTCATCCGCTTTTTGTTGCTTTTCATTTTCTTCAATTTCCAATAGTTTTTTATTTTCCTCTTGTTGATTGAGTTGAATTTCTAATTGTTTTTCCTTTTCTCTTTTAGCTGCTTCCTCTTGGAGTAATTGCTCTTGCATTTCCTTGATTTTCAGTTCATCCGCTTCTTTTTGTTTTTTATTATCTTCAATTTCTAATAGCATTTTATTTTCCTCCTGTTGATAAAGTTGAATTTCTAATTGTTCTTCCTTTTCTCTCCTAGCTGCTTCCTCTTGGAGTAATTGCTCTTGCATTTCCTTGATTTTAAGTTCATCCACTTCTTGTTGCTTTTCATTTTCATCAATTTCCAATAGTTTTTTATTTTCGTCTTGTTGATTGAGTTGAATTTCTAAGTGTTTTTCTTTCTCTCTTCTAGCTGCTTCCTCTTGGAGTAATTGCTCTTGCATTTCCTTGATTTTCAGTTCATCCGCTTCTTTTTGTTTTTTATTATCTTCAATTTCTAATAGCATTTTATTTTCCTCCTGTTGATAAAGTTGAATTTCTAATTGTTCTTCCTTTTCTCTCCTAGCTGCTTCCTCTTGGAGTGATTGTTCTTGCATTTCCTTGATTTTCAGTTCATCCACTTCTCGTTGCTTTTCATTTTCTTCAATTTCCAATAGTTTTTTATTTTCCTCTTGTTGATTGAGTTGAATTTCTAATTGTTTTTCTTTCTCTCTTCTAGCTGCTTCCTCTTGGAGTAATTGTTCTTGCATTTCCTTGATTTTAAGTTCATCCGCTTTTTGTTGCTTTTCATTTTCTTCAATTTCCAATAGTTTTTTATTTTCCTCTTGTTGATTGAGTTGAATTTCTAATTGTTTTTTTTTCTCTCTTCTAGCTGCTTCCTCTTGTAGTAATTGTTCTTGCATTTTCTTGATTTTCAGTTCATCCGCTTCTTTTTGTTTTTTATTATCTTCAATTTCTAATAGCATTTTATTTTCTTCCTGTTGATAAAGTTGAATTTCTAATTGTTCTTCCTTTTCTCTCCTAGCTGCTTCCTCTTGGAGTGATTGTTCTTGCATTTCCTTGATTTTCAGTTCATCCACTTCTCGTTGCTTTTCATTTTCTTCAATTTCCAATAGTTTTTTATTTTCGTCTTGTTGATTGATTTGAATTTCTAAGTGTTTTTCTTTCTCTCTTCTAGCTGCTTCCTCTTGGAGTAATTGCTCTTGCATTTCCTTGATTTTGATTTTATGTGCTTCTTGTTCTTCATATGGTTTGATTTCTTCAAACATTGATAATTTTTTTTTTTCTTCTAGATGTTGTTCTAAAAGAAAAAAAAATTTAAAGTTAGTGTTTTATAGCTGCAACAAAAGGCTCTGAACTTTTTGTCAAAAAAAACATCTTTATTTTATTTTGGAGGAACTTTTATGAAACTAGAACTTTCAAATAATAAAAATTAAAAAAATCTGTGAAAATCAAAAATAAAATATTCAACCAAATGTTGCAAATTTAATTATTTTATATTATTAAAATATATAAGTTTTACATAAATAATGCACATATTTCTCTCAATACTAAAAACAAGATGAATAAAAAGTTTAAAAATTCGAAGAAGAATTAAAAATAACAACCACAAGTACTAATATTAGAGTCATATGGCAATTACAGAGTTTTTTTGAAGTATTTCATTGTTTGCATGCATTAAATTAAAATTTAATTTTAATTTATTCAAAATTCTAAAATTTTATTTACCCTTAAATTTGAATTGTTTTTTATTTTCATCCTCATGGATTTGTTTAAGTTCTTCACTTGTAGCTGCTTCTTCTGGTATTAGTTGATCTTGCTTTTGTTTGATATTAACTTCCTGGACTTTTATCTCTTTTTCGATTTCTTCAAATTGAAATAAAATTAATTAAAGCAAATGACACTTATTATGTCTTTGGCTTTAAATAAACTACATAAATTTGATCAACTATTTTATTTATAAAAATTAATTTATTGGTTTTAGACTTAAATAAGAATCTTACAAGACTTACTCAAAACATGTAGCGAGTTTAAATACTACAGGATTTTTTTTCCATGTTAATAAATTATTTACTAGAGTACTGACCATAAAGGTTATAATATGTAAAAGAACCTTTTGTATAATGAATTGATTAAATGTGGTTTCATAAATAAACTTTTGCTTCTAAGCAATAAAAAAACCCAAATTTATCTTTATATTAAAAAAGAATTACCCAGAAATTTATGTATGAAAACATTAAACATCTTATCTCATTACTATTCTAATTTGGTTAAAACTTATTATAACTTTTACAGAACATCTAATAACTTTTAAACTCAGTGTTTTCTTGCTTGAGATTAAGTAATATGAACATCTTTCGACAAAGTAATAGATACAAAGAGAGAGAAATTAACAAACTTTTTTGATATTCACTTATAAACAACATAATTAACTATAATCATGTTTTTAGTGCTAGCTACTTGGTTTTCAGATACTGAATAAGAAAAAGATGAATCATCCACCAGGATAAATACAACACCAGAAGTACAGTAAAAGAAAAATTTTGACCATAAATATAAACAGGATAACTGATAAACTTGCTAAAATCTGCAAAAAAATAAATGATAGCAAGAGCCTAAAAATTTATTCTAAACAATAAACATTGATAAACATTGTACAATGTATTTGTGAGTTTTGTTGATTTTGTCTTTTGTCTGTCCTTTGTTGATATAATAATGAGTTTTTAAAGTCAAATACTTATAGTTAAAGTTAATTTCACAAACCTAATTGCATAATTAAACTTTCAAGCTTAGGTTTTTTTAAACTTTATCTTAAATTTAAGTATTGAAGCTCAAATGCCACATAAACAACTAAATATTATAAAATAATACATAAACGACTAAAATAAACTAAAATACTTTATAATATTTAGATATTTAGTAATATTTTTTATATATATATATATATATATATATATATATAATATATATATATATATATATATATATATATATATATATATATATATATATATATATATATATATATATATATATATATATAGTATGTATAATATATATATGTATGTATGTATGTATACATATATATATATACATATATATATATATATATATATATATATATATATATATATTTATATATATATATATATATATATATCATATATATATATATATATATATATATATATATATATATATATATATATATATATATATATATATATATATATATATATATATATATATATATATATATATATATATATATATATATATATATATATATATATGCACACACACACACACACATATATATAAAGTCAAAAAGTCAAAAGTTAATTATAAAAAAAATACAGCTTCTAGGCATATACTATACTAATCTACTTTTAGGGGATATTATTACAACAATATTTTAATTTAGCAGATATTTCCAATATTATTTAAAACAAAATGTTTGTAAAAATATTTATGATTATAACAGAACTTATAAAAAAACTGCAATTGTTCAGCACACATGGAACAAGTAAACTGAATATTTAAGACTATGCAATAATATAAATGACACTCAGTGACACACTCAGCTTGAAACAAGGGTATAAAATCTTTCTTCAGTTAAAAAAAACTTTGATATGAAATATTAACCTGTGTTACTTAGTTTAGAAGGTTTACTAACATTAGAACAAATATTTCAGCTTTGAAAACAGGGTTCAGCTTTGTATATGTAATGAATAGAAAGTTTTGAAGTCATTACATTTAAAATATATATACATATATTAAAATTATTTAAAAAATTAAACTCAACCTCAAAATAATTTATGATTTCAGGCTTTGTTATGAGCCAAAAATGCATAATGCTTAAGCGTAATGTGATTTACAACATCATTATATTCTTTTTATTAGCTATTCGTATTTTTAGAAAAAAATTTAACATAAATATAAATATAGAAACATTAGTTAACATAAATTACTGCATATTATCATGTTAACAATTTTACTATATTATCACAAAAATATTTGAATTGAGAACTCAAAAAATTTATTATTTTGTACTAATGTTATAAATGTTTATTTTGGTTCCAGTTTTTTAAAATAAAAAATTCAACATTTGTACATGGTTTTTTTGTTTAATTATTTGGGCTGACTTGTGCAACGTAGATGACAAAAATTTGTTTATATACTTTTTACTTCTAGTCGGGCATTTGTAAAAATTTAGTAATATTTGAAGTATTGGAAAACTCATGAAAGGATATCTTTTTTAAAAAATAATTTAAAGAAAAAAATCTAGTTTATATAGCTCAGCTTATTTCAAGCATATATACTTTTAATAAACACTTCACAGTCTAATAATTAAAAGCATTGTTGAGTTAAAATTTATTGTGCCCTATCACTTATACAAACAGTAATTGATTTTTTTTATGTTTTGTTAATTTTAATTTTTTTTTTAATTAAGAGAAATAAATACTTCATTCTTAAATTGGGTAGCAGAAAATTAGAACCGTTGAGAACTTATAACTAAGTAGAACTACGATTTTTCTTTGTAGATTTTGTACCTGAACAAAATGTAACTGAAAACTAACAAAATCTAAATATTCGTGTGCTTGCTAGATGATATATGTGCATGCTAGATAACAAATGTGCTTAATAGATGATAAATATTCATGTGCTTGCTAGAAGATAAATAACTTTTTTTTGTAATTTGTAATCTCCTGGTGCTAAATATTAAAAAAGTTAGCGTAATAATAAAAAAAAAATTTAATTTCATCTGATTTTATTCTATTTGTAAATAATAAGCATACTTTACAACAATTCAAACTTTAGTAACAATGTGTAATTTAAACTTTAATAACAATGGTGTGAAGTTTTTAAAATATTATTTTATTTATCAAACAGTTTAAGTTTTTAGCATAAAAAAAAGTTGAAATATTTTGCAATACAAACTTAAAATAATATATAAATACTAATTTCTATTCAAAATATGTTAAGTTAACAGTTCAAAACAATATTTAATTAACTAAACAAGAGATTTATTCTTCAAAGCAAGATCAATACAAAGTAGTGTAAAAAAATATGATAGTAAACAATAAATAAGAAAGCCAAAATACCATTTTTATTGAACAGGTCAGAAATAGTAGTGTCTATATTAATGTCTCACAGTGTACTACTAGACACTACTTTATAAATTTTACCAACAAAAGAATACTGCACAACAGATAAAAAATATTTTATATGTACAGTTGCCACTAACTAGTAGAGCTAATGATCCCACTTATGAACATTATAAATAGCATATATGTAATCGTTGACAACATATTTAATTTTCAAAAATGCAAAAAAAAAAAATTAGTAATTTTATTTATTATAAGCCCTGTTATGATCTTCAAACCCTTCTTTGTCATTGGCAAGACAACTAGAATGGAAACAACAAACAAATTGTTTAAAATTTTTGAAAATATCAAAACAGAATTATATCTTATGATGAATATTTACCAAAAATAATTAAAACTTGTTAATATTTTATAAAATAAAAATATCCAAATTTTTTAGTTAAAGATCAATTTTTATGAGTAGTTATTATTCTTACTAAAGACTAAAATAATTGATTGTTGCTTAAATGTCTTTTTATAATTTTATTTTATTTAAATTAGCTGTATGTAGCAGAAACATAACAAAAGGCTTACCAAACTGATCTTCATTTTTGTTTTGTGTATCATCATGGTTAGAACTTTCAAACTGTTTTTCATCTTTGTTTTGTGTGTTAATATGGTTAGAATTTTCAAACTGTGTTTCATCTTTGTTTTGTGTATCAATATGGTTAGAACTTTCAAACTTTTGTGGATCAATATGGTTAGAACTTTCAAACTGTTTTTCATCTTTGTTTTGCGGATCAATATGGTTAAAACTTTCAAACTGTTTTTCATCTTTGTTTGGTACATCAATATGGTTGAATTTTTCAAAAATCAATTTTTCATTAGGCTCTCTTTCATTTAATTCATTGTGTTGGTGGTTAGCAATTTGATCATGTGGCACAATTTGTTGCTGATAGAAAAAAACATAAATTAAAATGAAATAAAAAAATATACACAAAAAAATTTCAAAATATTAACTATGTCCTTGAACTCTACACAAAGTATTTATCATTATTAATAATGATTAACATATTTCTCATCAAATTTATAATTTATTTTCATAGCACTGTTTATATATGACAAAAACAACTTATATGCAAAAACTTTATAAATTATTACCATATTATGATTAATTATTAGTTAATAGATTTTATTAAAAAACTAATGTTTGCTGATTTTATTTGCTGATAACTAACAGATATTGGATTTCATTCGCTGATATTGGATTTTATTTGCTGATAACTAACAGATATTGGATTTCATTTGCTGATATTGGATTTTATTTGCTGATAACTAACAGATATTGGATTTCATTCGCTGATATTGGATTTTATTTGCTGATAACTAACAGATATTTAAAAGTTACTATTTTGCAGACTCAAACATATTTGCCCTCAAACAACAAACAAATATACACATCATGCAACAATGTTCCTCACAGTGGAGAATTCAAGATGTTGAAGATAAAAATACTGAATTGGTATATGTAATTGGGATACAGATGCTTTCAATGGATAACAATCTTAAATATGTGCTTAAATTTTTTCTTTGTCTAAATCAGTTCAAGCTTACCAAATATAAAAGTGCTGTTTAGAGTTTGGTTTATTTATCTTATGTTTTTTTAAAATTCAAAATATTATATATCTTAATTTAATTTTGCCTCTAATTGTTTAATTTAGTTTCCATTTTTTATTTCTTTTTTAAATAATGGTGATTTATAAAAGTTACTTATTTTCTTCTTTTGTTAACTTTAGAGTAGTAGTAATTTTATAGAAAAAATCATGATTCCCAAAATTCTCTTTTATGTACTGAGACAATTACATAGTTGTTTTGGAGGCCATGAGTCAAGTTCTCTTTAAATTTAAATCATGCCAAAAGTAAACCAAAATATTAAAAATAAAAAACCATCCCAACCACCTAACTATTTAAATAAATCTTATACAAATATTTGTGGTCTGCAAAACCAACTTCCATCAGTTGAATCTTACCTCTCGCAAAATTCTTAGTGAGGCTAATTTTAATCCCAGAAATTCCTTCTTCAGATCTCAGTGTTAATGGGGACAATCCTTTGATTCACAAAGATTCCAATAGTCATATGCTTGGCTTGGGGGTACACATAAGCATCAACTCACCTATTTGTTGTGAAATCGGGTTTGAATCCTTTGAACTTCCTTTATGTGCTACTGCTTAGCACCTCGTTACTTTATTACTTTTCTCTTTTTTCTCCTTTAAGCAGTTCTGACCATGCAATGATCTTTATAAAACTTTCATCTCATACTTCTTCTTTGGACTCATATCATTGCACTACTTACCACTACTCTAAAGCTGACTGGGATTTTCTTCGAGAGGGTCCTTGGGCTGATTTCTTTTCTCTCTCAGTTAATAAATGCGCCTCCTGCATAGCCTCCAGGCAGGAATGGAAGCTTTTATTCCTTTTCATTGGTTCCAATTCAAGCTCCATTCTACTCCATGGTTTTCACCCTCTTGTGCAGCTGCTATATCAATTCATAATCATTTTTTTCAAAAAAAACAATTCTCTTTAGAACAAACACCTATTTATTATTGTAAAAAAACTATGTAAAAAAGTGTTGTCTAATAATAAGCTCCATGATTCTCACTTCACTAAACCTCGCATCTTATCTCAGAAGTTAGGCTCTAGAGACTTTTGGAAAATCTTCAACAGTGTTGTTAACAAAGGTCTAACATTCCATCTTTCAATCAAGGGACTGATCTTAATACCTCTCCCAAGGACAAGGCAGAACTATTTGCATAAGACTTTTCTTCTAATTCAACTCTTGAATCTTATGGCCATTCTCTTATGGCCATTCTCTTCCTTCTATTCCAATTAAAAAGGTTAACTCATTGTTAGACATTCAAGTCACTACAGCTTCCATTGCTAATGTCATATCTTAATTAAACTCTTCTGCAGCTTGTGGTCTGTTTAACATTCCTGTCATAGTTTTTCAAAATTGTTCTACAGAACACTCTTCAATTATCTCTACACTATTTAATAAGTGCTTGACTGAGCTTTGTTTTCCTGCCTGCTGGAAAATGGCATCAGTTATTCCAATTTTCAAAAACTCTGGAGAGAATTCTGACCCTAAAAACTCTGGAGAGAATTATCGTCCAATCAGTCTTCTTTATGTTATTTGTCAGGTCTTTGAGTCTTGGATCAACCAATATTTCACATCCAATCTTGAGTCAAATAACTAACTGTCAGACAATCAATACAGTTTTCAATCCTCTTCCTCTATGGTTGACTAGCTAACTGCTGTAACTGTTGTTCAACGCATTTAAAAACCATTTTGTTTTCAATGTTTTTATTACTTATTAACAATCTGTCAACAAATCTACAACAAATTGTTCGCTATATATAGCATTTAAAAATACAACTTGTGACTCTGGTCAACAATTAATGGTCGCTATACAAACATAATAATAAAAATATGCAACGTGTGACTTTTGTCACACGTTGCATATTTTTATTATTATAAGTAAAGGTCTCTATATAATATATAGAGAGGTTTACTTAAATTTCCAATTTACCATTTAGTTAAAAAAAATTGACTATAATATTGATGAAATCCATTAACATTATAGTCAACTATAAGCAGAAAAGATTAAATACATACAACATCTCTATTTCTGGAGAGTTAAAAAGTTTTGGCATTAAAAGATTTTTGTTATCATCAACACCTGACTAACACAACAAACAATTGCTAATTAATTTAACTGATTTGAAAAAAGGCTTTAAGTCAACTTAAAATTAGAAACAAAACCATCTTTTTAAAACATAAACAGTGCTGATTGTTCCGAATTAATTAAATTTATAAGCTTAATTAAAAAATAACATAGCTTACCTGATGATAATCATCTTGTGTGTCTATTCCTAAAAAGAAAAGCCAGTATAAAAGTAAAAAAACAGTATAAAAACAAAAATATATCTACATTTAAATTAAGTCTTTACTTATTTTGCGGTAGTGGTGTAGTGGTAAGAGCGCTTGCTTTGTAAGCAAGAGGTTCGGAGTTTGACTCCCACCACGTCCCTGGAAGTACCGCGATTAACTTAATTTCTCTGCACAGCAACCTTACTTGTCAAGGTTCGTGTTTCGGAGTTAAAGAGTTAAGAGAGGGTTGTACCATGATTTACAACAAAAAAAAAAAAAAAAAAAAAAAAAAAAAAAGAGTAACCTCCTTGACTGTAGTGGCCCCTTGGGCTTTGGGGAGGTGAATAATTTAAAGAAAAAATTTAATTGTTAATTAAATAGGTGGTATAAAATCAAAAGTAATAATGGTAACTTTTTAGAAGAGAAAAAAAAAGTATGATTATGAGTATTGTTAGCAGAGTTGACATTAAAACTCTTGACCTTGGCCTTGTCCTTGTAACTTTTGGTCTTGGTTTTAGCCTTGGTCTTGGTCTTGGCCTTGGCCTTGTAACGTATGGCCTTGGCCTTGCTACTTTTGGTTTTGTTAACAACTCTGATTGTTAGTGTGAAGTATGGAATCCAATAAAACAATTTTTAAAAAAAAATTTTTAAGATGTTGTTCTGAATAGTTTAGCTTAAGTTGAAAATAAATAATTGGATAGTGTTGTTTTTTTTAAACATACAAAAAAATATGGGCAAATTTACTTAAATTTATTACTTATAAAACAGAAATCAAGCCTTCAGAGAAAGCACATGCGGTCACACGCCTTATTTGTCCACTTGTAAAATAAATGTTTTAGAAAACTTGACCACACTTTTATATGGTAAGCGTTTTAAAAAAATAAAGCTATATAAAACTACAAATAATAAACAGCAATACTCAAAGAAAGAAATTGAATAATATACAAAAAAACTTAATAAAATAAACTAAAAGAAATTGAAAATTGAAACAAGAAAAAATCAGGGCCTATTCTAGAAAAAAAATTTGGCTGGCGGTGTCCCTCTGTCACAGAGAAATTTAGCAAAAAATATGCATTTTTTTGCAAAAAAATAATAATACAATAATTGCTGTAAAAATAATTAAAAAAAAACAAGGTCCTCAAATTTTAATTTAAGCGGGGCCTAAATACTTGATGGCATGATAAATACTAAACATGAAGATGTTGAAAAAACTTTGGAGCTACAAAAATATTGCATAAACGCAGCAGAAAGATGTTTTAGAACACTTACTACTATCTCTACAGACCAGAGACTTAGTATGAAGCATAGTATCTTGGAAAAATGCATGTTAATTGGTGGAATAATGCGGTAGTGGTGTAGTGGTAAAACACTTGCTTCATAAGCGAGAGGTTCCAAGTTTGATCCCCACCACATCCCTGGTAGTACCGCGCTCAAATTGTTTCTCCGCGCAGCGGCCTTGTTCGTCAAGGTTCATGTTTTGGAGTTATAGAGTTGAGAGAGGGCTATAACCACTATTAAGTAGTCTCCTCATCTGTAGTGGCCTTCTCGGCCTTGAGGAGGTGAATGACAAAAAAAAAAAAAAAAATTAGCCATGTATGAACAGATGACCAATGTAACAAAATATTAAAAAAAGTGGTATGTAAATATTTAAAAAAACATCAAATTATTAAATTTCCTTTTGAACCAGAAATATTGAGCTAAGAAATTACCATACCAGTTAAAAGTGAAATATGTTCTTCTGAAAATAAACTATCTGGTATAAATAAACAACTTCAAGAATCCAAAGACAGTAAGAACAGTTTCAACAACAATAGTATATCGATTTACAACTAAATATTTTAGACTTATTAGTTTTATTCATGGTCAGTTTTAATGACTTTTTATTATGCTTTTACATTATAATTTTTTTTTTTTTTTTTTTTATTTTTAAAAAATCAAATAATATATTTTACAAATAAATAGCAATTTATTTTTTTATTTTCCTATTATATAAGTATTGAGAAAAACGTCAAATATAGTAAAAACATTTTTAAAACCAAAAAGACGTAAAAACAAATAAACATAAAAAAAAAAAATTTATATTAAAACATTCAATTGTTGTTAAATTGTTATAAATTTTAATATGCTTTTAATAAAAAATTTATTAAATTATTTAGAAACATTAAATAAAAATTTATTAAACATTTAGAAACATTAAATAAAATACTCGGGTTGTGATACTAATTTTCCTCATTAATTTTATCTACTTATTAATGATGTACATTTGATGTGGTTTTTTTATTTCTGTTTTAGGAAAAACCACAATCCAAATAATTTTGATAAAAAAAATTGAGCCTATACATTCTTATAATTGAACTCGCCCCCGGTAAAAATTTAATAAAATTTTGAAATTTAGGATGCTGTTTCAGTTCAATTACTGTCAAGTTACTTTAAGGTGCTTACCAAAAAGTGGCATGGGAATAAAAGGATGGGTGGAAATTTTTATCCAGATGTAATAAATGG